TTTTTTTTTTTTCCATTCAGGACCAATATCCTGAGGGATATGGGTGGGTTGAATTGCGTAATGTTTTCCGATGAGTTTGCCTTGCCCTAAAAGGAGCCCAAAGGAGGAAGCTTCTATGCTCCCTTCCAAACTTTAACCTTTGCACATTTTTTTGTGCCAGCTGGATTTAATAGACCAACGAGAAATTCTATTAATAATTATACTGATGAAGTACTTTGTAAATATATATATGGGAATGTTTTTTCTTGGATACTGTTGCTGGGAGACAGGAGCCTGCTGGAATGTGCATTATTTTTCTAATCAAGGGGATGCTTGAGAATTGGTGATAAACAGCACTATCGTACATGCTGACTTGTTTTTCATTTACCCACTCCACTACTGGGGCAATCTTTGAGAATGAGATCAATTTAATTCACTTCCTTAATGCACGCATGGACCAACACTAAAACACGTGTGCACCTGTCTGAATGAAAATGACTGCTTTACACCGCTGTCAACAAACTCTTAAGAGCTAGTGGCCGACATTACAGTGATTTACAGAACCACGTCAGAAGGCATTTCAAAACATCTGCGTCTTCGCCTGTAGAGGGGGCCAACGCTCCTCTCTGCAGCTTCCTTTCTTTCACTGTGTTCTCTGACTGTTAGGAGAAAGTGGAACAAATCTTCAGGTATTTTGTGAACCTTTTCAGGACATTTTGAGTGCTTGCTACTCTTACATACCAGTGGCTTATATTAAAAAAAAGCCTTCGATCACAGGCATTATGCAAGTACCTAGTACCTCTTCAACTTAATCACCTAACTACTGATAACAGGAGAAACTCTTATTATGTTCTGCTTTGACTGAAGTCATTTTGCAGTGCAAATTTAACTGAGGTAAAATGACATTGGTTGTTTTGCTAGTTTTGTAGTCATTTTTGTAATATTTGTTTTTCAACATAGTGTCTGTTTTGTGCTCTTTAAATGATATGCAGCTACAAAAGACTAAATCATAGCCATATTTAATGGATTTACTTCATGTGGTGTCAACTATGTTTATTTTAAACTATGTATTTTCTAGATAAGACTGTTATTTCATAGCTTCACTGGAGACGTATCTCAACTTCAGTCATAAATAAGTTGGAATTTATTCACTGTGAGTGCAAATACATAAACACTGAAATTGCAATAATTGGATCTTCTTCCCCATATTACTTGGAGTCCATAGAAAGTGCCTGATGTAAAAACCATATAATTCTATTTTAAGATATCCCTTCAGGTTCAGAGACAGAAAGAGTAACAGTTAGAGTTGTCACAAAGTGTCTGCACACTGATATGTAGGCTCCCCTGCTGAGAATACAGTATGCAGAGGCAAGAAGGTATTCCCTTGAGTGTGCATGTATTACTCTGGCGGCTCGTACTGATTTGCACACACTGCCTCTGTCTCCATTCATCAGAATCAGACGAGTGTAGACCCCTCCGTTTGGAGCTTTGGCCACTTGTGTGGCTGTCCTTCAGGCTATGCAGAGGGACTAAGGGAAACACAGCAGAGGCATAGACAGTTGTTGGTGTCTCCAGAGTGCTGGGATGCCAGATGGCGTCCTGATTGATTTTCTGGTCCTCTCCCAATTCTTTATCACCACCTCTCCCTCTCGGTGTCAGAGGTGTGCCGTGGAGGACTTATCTTTGGACTTGCGCCATCCAAATCCTCCTCAGATGAGCACTTGCTACTCGTGTGCTTGAGGTTTGATTTATGAACGGAAGTCATCAGGAGTACGCTTTTTGACAGCAGAAGGAGATAATGGAGAAGACTGAATGAAGCAATTTGTGACCTCTTCCTTACCATTAACCTTCACAGGCTGTTGGTCCATCGATCTCAACGGAGCTCTGTTAGGAATTGATGTTGGGGGACGATCGCACTGAAATAGATTTTTTGGTATTGATTCAGAAAGTATACTCACAATGAGATAAATGGGAGATGGAGGGAAAAAGACCATGTAACTAAGACCCCACGGAGGAGTACAATCAGTTGCCAAATATAATGATTGTACAGTTATCTGTAAAGGTGACGTTGTTGCAAGAACATGGTAACATCTGTGCACGTGAGCTCACAGAGTACAAGCTTAAAGGGACGGTGCAAGATGTGTGCCTTACTTTCCACTCTGAACATGTATTGACATTGAACTGGAGAAGAGCATCATGGGATAGCTGAACTGTGTAGCATGAAGGCACAAAATATGTTCCAAGTGTATTGGAATATGTGTATCTTCATCACTTTTTTGGGGGGTTAAAGTTCCCAGTGGTCCATAAAGGCTTTTGCTGGCATTATGAGTGGTACATGATTGCACAGCTAATGCTTGGTGATAAGTGGAATGGGCCAAATGACCAGTAGGAAGATTATGGTGATCTCCATGGAGGGAGACGTCGGGCAGCTGTCCCAGGATTGTGTGAATGTTTTGGGCGATAAAGCTAAAAAGGGGCTGATTGTGTACCACGACACTGCTCGATCTTGATCTCGATAGAAGCCTATGAAAAGTTTGGAAACCGGTTGTTGGTTTTTTTTAGGTGTGTGTGCTCTCTGACTAGCCTGCAAACTCTCGTGGAATTTCCCTGTTACGATTTAAGACTATGAGAAGCAGCTTCAATGAGTATCATCCATGAGAGATCAGATTCACCAGGAACAGGTGAAATTGCCCTTTTAATACAGCGCTCATGCTTTATGTATTGAGCACTTACGAAGTGACAGCTTTTACATTTCCATCATTTTGTGTCTTTAGCCTGTGAGTGCAGTATAAATATTATATTCTGTTATTAAAAGGGGTTATTTATTGTCCCCCGTGGCCATCTGTTATTCCAGACATGTCCTACATAGTAAAACATTTTTTACGCTGGCGTTATATTGTATGCTAATGTGATATGGTACTTGCAGCTACAGTTAAATTGATATTCGCCAGTCGGGGATCATTTCTCTCTGGCAGGTCATATAGGGCTTTTATATCAACCAAACCTGTGTCGTAAACAGTAGTGATATTCCAGGGATCTGCTGGAGCACTTGAACCTGTAAAGTGGCTTATTGTACTGTGACCCAACCCTAATGGACCATGCAAAAGCATGCACACATCTACTGTTTATAATGGTCAACTATTCCCCAGTGGAGACATTTCAGTTGTTTAAGTGGTAAACATACACAAATAATAATGCTGGAATTTTAACACTGTGTCCGGTGTATTAATGCTGTCAGTAACACCAGTGGCCTTGTATTTGTATTAGGAAAGTGAAGGATATGATCAGTAATATTTTTGTATTTGTTCTATCCAATAAATGGATAAAATCTGATGTCAATGTACCTGTTTAACTGTTGTCAATTCAAAGTCAAAGTAAGTAAACATACATTTCATGTTGGATTTGTGTTTTTGCCTGTTCTTGCTCATGTCTTTTTGTTTTTTAATGTTTTTATGTCTTTAAAAATGTGCATCAATATTTAAAAAACACTTAAAAACAACTTTTGATCTCTACACCGTTGCATATCCATTAAACTGTGACTCATCAGCGTTCGTGATGGCAAAAAAAAAAAAAAAACAGGCTATCATCCACATTTAACTGTGATGGAGATGTGAATCAAGATGCTCGGAGGGTAATGAGAGAAGGAAAATGAGAAATAGAAAGGGGGGAGTGAGTTTTCCAACCATATCTGATTGGTTTGATCACCAGCTGCTGAGTGAGACGGTGAAATGTCGCGCCCGCGCCAAGTCGCCCTGTTCCCCCTGGTGTTGATGCTCTACCCTGCAGCCTCCCTCAATTACTCATTCATGATGCTCTGCTGTTTGTTTCATAGGATCCTGAGTGTGTCTGGGCCACGTCTTTGCAATGGCAGCGTGGTGAATGCTAGATAAAAGGTATATACATACAAGCTTTTGTTTGTAGTGTAGTAAAAAGTAAAAATGCCTTTTTGTCATATTAGAAAATATAAAATCCCATACAAGTGCATCTTTTAATTCCAGTTTGTTAAAGTGCACGACACTGCTAAAAATAATAGCGTGGAACATTTGTAGTCTGTGTGAGACGAGCTGGTTTCTCTCTCGCGCAGGATGACATGCTCTGGTGGAAAACTTGCCAGAAATCTTCACTTTCTGACAAATGCTGCCTAGACAACACTCGGCTGCTTCCTAGGAAAATAAGAAGCACTGTAGAAGGCGGTGATGCCGCTGTCTCTAGCACTGTCTCATCCTAATCTTTTAGGTGCTTCCCTGTGAGATATGCAGTACAAAATAGCGCCATAAAATACCCTGAAAATGCGCGCACACAAACGTTGCAATCTCTGCACACAGCGTAGGCCTGTTTTTTGTTGAGCCGGTGTGGCTCACATGCAGCACCACAGTCTCCCACACCCCATATGC